GTAACGTCAAAAATCCCCAACTCGATTTGACAAGACAAAATAACTATTGCCAGTTCCTGTCTTTGTTACACTTGGTTGATTTTAATAATTATGCCCTAATTGAAATTGTTTCTATAATTACATTAATTTCATTAAATTGCTTTTTATCTCAACATTTCATTTAATTACACATTGTTCTCTTAACGTCATATTTTACTGACTTAGCTGAAATATTTCTGTAAAAATTACGACTTGGTTTATCGAAATACAAGGCAAGTTGGTATATACGATATTTGAAGGTCGTTAGCTTTTTTGACGTACATTGTATGTGTAATGTAAGGCCATCCGTGATTGGTTAGTTACGTGACTAATTTCTGTTCAACTTATCGCGAAGTCTCATGTCTATTCTTCTTAATTCTTGATATTTGATAATCCATAATAACACCGAGAATTTAATAAAAACTTGCATATTGGTGTACGTATCACAAATCATTTATTTTATCAGCTTTTATAAGAACTTTTCCTAACTCGTTTTAGGAACCCGATTATCTAATTAATCACAACTGTACTTCCTTTCATCCATACGCTATTATTACCTTCCGACAAAAATAAAATATTTTCCTAGGATTAAAAACAAATTACAATTACATTTCCCTGAAACACTTCGCGAAATGTCACAAACCTTCTTTTGCAGGGTGAAAACCTATTTCTGCTTTTTCGCGATCACCAAATGTTCTTTTATAGTCCCGAGGTTATCGAGTGTTATCTATTGTTTTTGTACTTTATGTAATCGTAAACTATTGTAAATGCATTTGCTTTATTTTTTCTAAAGAGGTTTTAAATGCAGGAACAATAACATATCATCTGTTGTTGTATAGTGTTCATGTTGAGAAACTGTTTCTATATCATAAACACTGATGCAAGTGTGTCACTTGGTCTTCTTTAACGCTGAAGCGTCAAAGAGGATTTTAGCTAAAAGGATTTTCGAAAGTTCAATCTTCTCAATACATGCAATTAAAGAAGTATAAACCTTGTGATCTGACATAAGCAAGCGATTTCATGCACCATCGTACAGTTCGAGTACTTGCATTTATAAAGGTCGCTTTAGTTGTCCCCTGTAAATTTAATATACTTCCTTTCTGTCGAGTTGTGCGTGACGTAGTGGTTAGCATACGTGGACTGTGAATCCGACGATTCACTGTTCGCGTTTCTTTGCCGCTAAAACGTACTTCACACTTTGGGGCCATTGGAGTGCTATATGAGTGACGTTCAAATCCCACTATTCCATCAAACAAAGGTAACCCAAGAATTGGCAGTGGGTATAGGCGACTAGTTGCCATCTCTCTAGTCCATCAGTTTAAACTAAGGATGGTTATGCGTAAATAACCTTTATGTAGTTTTGCGCTAAAATCTCAGACAAACAATTATTTCCATAATCAAAGCAGATTTTGATCACTTTTCGACTTCACTAAAAAAATAATCGAAACAGATATTGATCACTTTTCGACTTCACTAAAAAAATAATCGAAACAGATATTGATCACTTTTCGACTTCACTAAAAACAGTAATCGAAACAGATATTGATCATTTGTCGACTTCACTAAAAAAAATAATCGAAACAGATATTGATCACTTTTCGACTTCACTAAAAACAATAATCGAAACAGATATTGGTCACTTTTCGGCTTCACTAAAAACATGTCCACCGACTGCATTTCGGAACATTTAAGCTTTTGCATACAATAATTCAAAGTAAACAAAAAAGCCAAAACCTTAACCTCTTAAAGTTAAATTAGATTTCTTTGACAAGAATGTGCAATACATGTAAATATGTTGTGCAACATAGGTAGCTTATTTTTATTGATGCTCCTTGATTCGACCTATTTTGTCGATGTTCTTTACCGTGAAGTTACTTTTAAACTCATGTACTTAAGTTACAGTTCAACATACATAAATAACACAACACAGTTGCAATTATCTAAATGTTTTAACTATTTCATTGCAAAACTTATAGGAATTCTTAGCTGTTTTTAAAGTACTCAGTTCTACACTCTAAGGACTAGGAGCACCAATTTTAATTGTATCATGTACCCACACAACCGTTATTTTTTAAACTTCCCATCCTTATGTTAACTGTTTTTAGGCCTGAAATTTAAGTACTGTAACAATTTTACATATAAATAAGAACATATTAAGCAGCAACAGACCATTGTCTCTTACAACTTAAAATCTGCATTCTGATCTTAAACTGGTCAAACATGTGAGTAGCTACCGTATATAAAATCACCCAGCTCATACTGTATTTAACATTACAAGTAAAGCACATGATGACCAGATAAAAGGACAAAGAACCCGGCCTATTTTTTTTTATAAAGATGTATTTCATTTCGATGTTCTCATTCCTTCGGCCATTGCGGCGGTATATGCATTAAAATCAACGAAACGCTGATTACGGTGTCTCAGTGGCGCCATCTTTTTTATTTCAAATGACTTATATTTGTTAAATAATGGAAGCGTTCAATAATAGTCTGATTGTTGTTGAAATATAAATACTCTTATTAACCACGAATTTGTTTTATGAAATTTTCAATTGATTATTTAAAGTACAAGTATGTTTACAGTAAAGGTCTTAATAAGCGTTTATTATGGTTACAAGTATTATTAAAATCTTACGGAAAAAATAATCTTTCACCACCTTTAATAAAACAAACGTTAGACTGGACTGTTCTTTTTGGAATATATTTGTTTTGATATTGGTTCATTAAACCAACATTAAAACATTTTCAACATCATCGCTGGAGTACGACAACCTTTTAGCCATTAGAAAAAAAAACATTTTCTTGTCTAAAGCTACTTTCATGATACAGTTCCACGCCTACCTGTTTAAGGATATAGGTATTCCAGAATCTGAACGTGCGTTCTTTGTTTTCTTATGACTTGAAATTCATCACGAATACCATCTTAGCCATAATTTAAGCATACATTTGTATTCGTTATTTACAGATATTCTGTTATTTATCACTGCACCTAAAATTGTACAGCATTCTTTCCGGTTTTTGCAATGTGGATGCTTAGATTGCTATCAGATCTCTTGCGATTAGCAGATATATTGTAGGGGAAGTTTGCTAAGTATGCCTGTAAGTTTTGTTTTTGTTGTTCAGCACAAAGCTACATTATGGGCTGTCTGTGCTGGGTGGGGGCATACTTGTAAGTGTAATACTTTTCTGAATGTTCTAGATCTAATACTATTTGATTTCTACGTTAATTTCTAGCCTAACATAACATTGTTCTTTCCTCTTCAAGGACAACTATTATCAGTCTATATAAATTTACCCTTGGTGATGAGTTTTCACACACATTTTTCCCACGTGTATTACATGTTTATATCATGTTAGTGACATAATCTTGGTGTACATAAATCCTAGCTGATATCAGTAGCACAAGCTCTCTTAAACTGGTTGTAGTACAGTGATTAACTGGTTTCTTATTCCAGAGGAAATCTTCAATATAAACTGAACGAATAGAGGTGGCCTTTTCTTCAATCTTTCACCTTACTGAAGACTAACTTAAAACGAACACGTCTAAATTTCCAGAACAGTTTCCAACATACGACCGAACTTAGCTCAATTTGATGATTTTCTTTATTGTTTATCGGCGTCCTGGGCTGGTGGGCGAGACTTGATATTGATTGAAATTACAGTTGTCAGTTTGTTTCCAAATACTGACATTTTGTGAGCTAGCGTTCCTGTTTTTCACTTGAAAGAAAAGTTGAATAGAGACTGTAATCGCACAAACAGGAAAGTTGCACAGCCCTGTTAAGTGTTTTCTTTATTTTGTTAGTTATTAAAGCTGTTTGTTTCAAGGATAACTACAGTGACTAGTATCATTCGCGTAATACTGGTGTAAACGTACAAACGTGCCTTAATGTTATCTGTAATGACAAAAGTTTATAAAAGATAATCTTATGTCAGACGTTCGATCACTTATCGCCCATCTACGAGGTAATCCGGTGCTTGTTATACATATCCTGCTTGTATAAAGTAGAGACACAGGAATTGTCAGTCCAGTGTCTGTCCCTACATTGTGTGATTGGTGATAAATTATCTAAAGGTTTTCACTCCGTCAAACAAGGTGATGAGAGGATTTTGTAACCTGTACGTCGGTGTAATGTAACCTCTCCACAAACATTAAAGAGAGGCGTTGTTTTCATGGCACACTAGATACGGAAGGTATTGGTTTTAACTCTTTACACCTGATTGTACATTTATAAAATGTGCTAAAGGCGTTCTGTAAGTTGCTTAACGCCTGGTAATTTTAAGTATTAAAATAATTATTTTTAATATATTGTTACCTTTTGAGGATCACGTGACGATAAACAATGTTAATGTATTCTTCGAATTTTAAATATATATTGTAGAAATAATTGTAATCCTTATACTTTAACAGACGAGCTTTACTGCAGTCAATAATATAGTTTAATGTTAAAAGTTCAAATGACTTGTTTTTAAATGCTGTATCGTGCAGTTGAGTCATAGCTTTATGGAAATTTATTTTTTCAAAATGTTTTTTGCTGTTTTTTATGAATCTAAAATACAATTAATGTTAAGGAACAAACCTATTTTCCGCAGAAGTTTGGTGAGTGTTATCTAATGGTTGATGAGTGTCCTGACCCTAATGTAAATGAAACGTTGAACGACTGAGTTCACTACACTAATTCCAGACAGCTGTGTAGCGTTTTAACTTGCTTCCTCTTCCAACGGGCAATGACACCACCTGTAACGTCACTATGTTTACATCCTGTAAAGTTGTGTACTAGTAAAAAAAAACTCGACATTCTAAGTAAACTTTAAAACATTATTTGACGTAATTATTGTGACAGTACAGAAGTAAGAAGGCAAGCCGACTTTCCGAAAGCGTTCGGGTTATTGGGTTTATTTTCTGTTGCTAGTTTATAATTATCCAACGCATTGAACAGTGAAACTGATTGTTTGTTGTTTTGTTTTTCTGTTATTTCTTCTAGGCTGTAGACGGTTTTGATCTGTCCCTGAATATCGGTGGCTCCAATCACGACAACCACAACCCTAATCCAACAAGCTATATGCCTGTAGATCAGGTGGGTTTCACTGTATATATATTTTTCTGTTGTATCTAAATTCTATATGTGTACTCTGACGTGTGACCTGATTGGCCAGTTATTTCTGCCTTGAGATCAGCAAGTTCCAGAACTCTTCATTGAGGTGACAACGGGTTCCACCTAACTATTTTGGGGGGAGGGGGTGATCATTAATTCCTCTAATCTAAAATGACTAGGGCGCTGACGTTTTTTATCATCGCAATTTATAAGTGCTGTTTGGTTAAGTTGTTAAACCGTCTGAACCTAAAAAAAAGAGTGTAAAAGTGTCGTGTGTTTTTAATTTGTTTGGTTTTTTTTTTAAATTTCGCGCAAACCTGCTCGACGGCTATCTGTATTAGCCGTCCCTCATTTAGAAGTGATAGACTAGAGGTAAGTCAGCTAGTTAACACTACACACCGTCAAGTCGTAGGCTACTCTTCTACCAACAGAGTGGGATTGACCACCAAAACTGAAACAGAGAGCATGTGCGGTGACGAGATTCGAACTCGCGACCCGCAGATTGCTTGTCTAGCGCCCTAACCACCAGGCTATGCCAAGCCTCAAGTGTTCTTATACTGTTTTCCATGTAGATAGAACACAATTAGATATATTCATCTCCTCAACTGAACCATAGATATAAAAAAAGCATTTAATCCGAGAAGAATCTTCAGTCTTCTTAATATAATTTAGTAGAACACTAAAAACAGACAAATATTTTCAAATTCAGGTTATACTTATATATGTGTATATGTAAAGATGTGAGACGTTGCTGGCTAGATCACCAACATCTGCTCAATTTTTTATTTATTTTTTCTTAATCATGTGAAGCCGGCGAATTTGAAGTTAAACTGGATAAATGGTGTACCCCCAACGCGATTTCGGTCTTTCTTGCGCCAGTATCTCCAAAAAACCAGGGCACATTTCATGATGACCCACCTTATGATTTATGCCCCGGTGTTAGATATTTGTATTGTGGCTGCGATTTTTTTTTCTCTCTCTTATGAATTTACGCTTAATAATAGACGTACATATACACCTTTCAATCCACAGTAAAATAACACCTTCGTCGGTTACGTGGATTATTATGGAATTTCTGATCATCGCCACGTGATAAAATAATGGTCCTATAGATGCTTGAAAGGGAATCTAGACTTTTAAAGTTATCGACTTCGCAATCTCAACGTGGAGATAAAGGTCATCTGAAGTAAACTAACATAACTGACTCTAGTTATGAGACAGTTACTACGAAAACATTTACAAGACTTTTAGCAGTAATATCTACAGAAGTGTTCTTCAAATCACATTACTCAGCAAATATCTTCTGACAAATAAGTCTTAATAGAATGTAAATCAATACACGTTATCGCACCGAATTATGAGACAGTTACTACGAAAACATTTACAAGACTTTTAGCAGTAATATCTACAGAAGTGTTCTTCAAATCACATTACTCAGCAAATATCTTCTGACAAATAAGTCTTAATAGAATGTAAATCAATACACGTTATCGCACCGAATTTCCCTTTCTCCGTATATTATATTTTTAATGATTTCCACTTGAAATATAAATTTAATCATGTCCGTAATACAGTAATCATATAAAACGCTGTGTTAACCAACGATAACTTCTATACAGCTTATTCTAAAATATGCATTGAGCTTCATTGATGCAATTCACAGAAATAACAAAATGTTACATGTTTTAATAAAGGTAGGTAAGCAAATCAGTTTAGTTTCTTTAGTTCAAGCAGGATCATGTATAGCCTAGTGCTGTGAATAATATTTCATTCAGTTAGTTACAATAATTAGCGAAAACAGGAAAATGTCCAAATCGCGTAATATTGTTTTTTACATAAAGCTCAGGACAAGAGAAAAAATAATAATAAAGTAAAATACCTGTTGAAGATGAAATGAAGACAGTGTTGAGCGTGTCTGCAAAACAATTTAAAAGTCTCAAACCACCATAGGTCCAATTACAACAAAATACTTTAGAAACAAGGGTTTGTATATCATCATTTATGCTAAAGCGTTTTTAAGGGTAAAGTAACAGAAATTATAAAACTTGAGATCTGGAACCGGTATTTCTAAGTAGGTACATACAGTTAATATATTCTGATAAAGTAACAGAAGCTATAAAACTTGAGATCTGGAACCGGTATTTCTAAGTAGCCACATACAGTTAATACATTCTGATAAAATAACAGCAGCTATAAAACTTGAGATCTGGAACCGGTATTTCTAAGTTGCCACATACAGTTAATACATTCTGGTAAAATAACAGGAACTATAAAATTTGAGATTTGGAACCGGTATTTCTAAGTAGGTACATACAGTTAATACATTCTGATAAAATAACAGCAGCTATAAAACTTGAGATATGGAACCGGTATTTCTAAGAAGCCACATACAGTTAATACATTCTGATAAAATAACAGCAGCTATAAAAGTTGGGATCTGGAACTGGTATTTCTAAGTAGCCACATACAGTTAATACATTCTGATAAAATAACAGCAGCTATGAAACTTGAGATATGGAACCGGTATTTCTAAGTAGGTACATACAGTTAATACATTCTGATAAAATAACAGCAGCTATAAAACTTGAGATCTGGAACCGGTATTTCTAAGTAGGTACATACAGTTAATACATTCTGATAAATAGTGAAGGTTCTCCACACAAATGATTAAATTCCGATTAGTTGGTGTTTGAAGTAAGTTCAAGAAACTTCAGAGATAACACATATAGATAGCGGTTGCAGTAGAGAACGTGAGAACAGAGGTTCGTTCTGTTTGTCCGTATTTTTTACAGTCACGTGCATGTTCGGTGAATAAATAGTTACGATTTGATTATCACACCACCTGCGTGTTTATCCTAATAATACGTACGAGATCATACAAACCCAATAGTATTTCCAAACGTAAATTAACCATGCAGATAGTATGCACGTGACGTCTGATTGTATCAAGTAATGTACATGCTGGTTCTATAGTTACCACCCCTTTTTCCAGTTTACAAATGAACAGTGCCAGGCTCTGAGAATGAAAATGAAAACTTAAGACATATCTAACAGTTGTTACACTTTACGCTTGATAAATATACAAGTCTGGTTTTCTTCTTTCTGCATTCGTTCTGCCAAAAAGCAAGGTATTCAGATAGCGACACGCCCAAGTCATGAAAAACCCTGAAGCGAAACGTGACGGACCTTGGATTTTACTGAGTATAACTTTATATAAAGTCTTTCGCATCGGACGAGATAGCAAACAGGCGTCTTATGATTCAGTTATCATTAGGGCATTAGCGTGTGATGTCTATGTAATTACTGGCCACAACGCAGAACACGAAGAGTTCTCTCTGTTGATACGAAAAAGAACATTAGATATATTTATTTAGATGAGTGGTGTAAAATGCTAGTCTTTATATTTAGCTAGTCTTTCGTGATTTGATGTTTTAGTGGAGTTTTTTCTTACATTAAACTATCATTAAAGGAAAGAAAAATATGAAGAATTTGATGTACAAGTTATTGTGTCATTAGTTTCAAGTTCTTAACAAATGATTCAGAAACTTTTATGTACTCTCATTTGTTTATTAAAGTATTGTAAATGTGTTGTGTATGATTTTAAGCTTAGCATGTAGGAATTGTTCGTCATATCCGTAGCTTGCATTTAGATAAAACACGTCGCGAAATAAAATCGTTATGTGCCGCTAGAAGATTTGACCAATAGCAAGGGAATATCAAACAATAAAATTATTACTTTGGACCATTACATATTGTATTTACCACAGACAATAGACCAATCCCTATCGTTTGAAGTGTAATGTTTAGTCAGTAAGAAGCTTGAAAGTAAATTAGTAAATTCTCCTGTTTTGGGAGCGCCATCTTCAGGTGACAAAGCCTACAGTATGATTGTAGATTCTACTTCATGAATCTTTCAATTTACCTAAACATGATTTTCACAATTTATCATTTGCCCTCTTAACAACTCGTTACATGGGAACACGTAACATGTTTTTCCATTTAAAGTTGATTGTGTACATGCATTAATTTCATATTTTGTCGAGAAAAACAAAGGTTTGCTTACATGACCTAAACTACTAGTGGATGACGTTTTATACACAAAAGAGGAACCAATTCATCTTTATAACAGTTTTTTGCTACACATACTGTTACATATTTAATAAGGCCCTTTTTTGCTACACGTACTATAGTATGACGAAAAAAGGGCTTGTTGTTACACTTAATACCACATGTCAGAAAATGTCTTGTTGACTACACATACCACAACATGTCAAAAACGGTCCTGTCTTCTGCATATACTACTTTTATAGATAAAAAGAGGGTCCTGTTCGCTACACATACTACCACATTTTAAAACGGTCCTGTTTCCTGCACATTCTGCTTTTATATATCTAATAAGATATGTGGTAGTATGTGTAGCAGACAGACCTTATCAGATATGTGGTAGTAGGTTTAGTAGACAGGACCTTATTACAGTGTAGTAAATACGACCGTATTAGATATATGGTAGTATATTTACCAGAGAGGACCTTATTACAGTGTATTAAGTAGGACCTAATAAGGTCCTGTTTAGTACACTGTAATAAGGTCCTCTCTGCTACATATACTACTATATATCTAATACGGACGTATTTACTACACTGCAATAAGGTCCTGTCTACTAAACCTACTACCACATATCTGATAAGGCCTGTCTGCTACACATACTACCACATATCTAATAAGGTCTTGTTTACTACACTGTAATAAGGTCTTGTCTACTAAACCTATTACCACATATCTGATAAGGTCTGTCTGCTACACATACTACCACATATCTAATAAGGTCCTGTCTACTAAACCTACTACCACATATCTGATAATGCCTGTCTGCTACACATACTACCACATATCTAATAAGGTCTTGTTTACTACACTGCAATAAGGTCCTGTCTACTAAACCTTTTACCACATATCTGATAAGGTCTGTCTGCTACACATAC